GGATTCTGGTCCCTACCCCACCACTGCCTAGCCCTGGTACCTCGAGTCTGTCTCGTCTCCTTCTTTGATCCAGTACAGAGACGCATCCTCTGCCCAGACAACTCCAGCTCCCTGTTGGGGCCTCACAGTTTCTCTTGGAGGTCAATCCAAGTCAAGACCGCAGCTTTATTTTCCTTTGGGCCCACACCTGTACCTCTGCTCCCTTTCCTCAGAGATGAGAGAGAGTCGCCAGCTTTATAAACGGGTGTATAAACAGTCGTGACTTCCAGCACGGCGGGTGGAGGAGCTTAATGCGCCTGGGACAATATTGTCTCTGGACTGTGGCCATGGGAATGGGCAGTGCCGCTCTGAGACCTTGCGAGGGCTTCTGGCCCGAGAGCACCTGTTGGGTTTGATGAGAGAGAGGGAGACTGCCTGATCCTTAGTTTCCATGGGTCCCTGGGATTCTAGTCGAAAGGATGTCAGAGGTGGGGTGTTGGCTGGTTTGAGGCCTGAGTATGAGGTCGAAGGCTTTGGTGACACCCCAACACCCACCCTAACCCAGAAATCAGGAGAAGGGGCCACCAGGGGTGCTCCCATGCCCGGCACCCCCTTCCTGCCTTGGATGCAGGCCGGTTGAGCTGGGAGGCGGAGCTCCCGTCTGCCCATCTCTCCTGGGATCCGGGAGCTCAGGGGCTGATGGAAGCTCCTCGTAGCCTCCCGTTCTTTCTTGGATTGGGAGGGAGGATACCTAAGCTCTAGCTACAGTTGTACCACCAACTTTCCCCTGTGACTTTGACCTAGTCCTTTCTTCTCCTTGTACCTATTTCTTTCTCGTAAAATGAAGGCGCTGGGCCGATGGTCTGTGTCACCAGTTCAGGTCTGCCACGAAATGCACGGAGAATAGTGGTCTGAGGGTGTGCGAAGCCAAGGCTGGGAGCTTTGATTCAGTCCCAGGACTCTGCTCTTCCTGATCCCTGTCACATCCCTGCCTTCCTCTGCTGCCCAAGGGTCTAAAAGCTCCTATTTCAAGATTAAAGTCCGCACGGGGCTGCAGCTCTCCACTCCTCCCTAGGCGGAAGCTGGCGAGTGAAATTCTCCTTCCTTCCCTGTCTCTGCCCAGGGGCCCTGCCTCTGTCCCCACACCCCTGCCCCACTTCTGAGCTGCCCTGTGATACCCCACTTTCAGACTTGGGAGATGCAGGGTGCGATGGGGAGGCCCTGCCAGTCACACCAGCAGCTCCTCTCAAACCCTGCCTCTCGCTGCTGCCCGAGACTGCGATCTGGTGGCTGAGAATTGCCCTGGGACTTGCCCTCTTGGCAGCCCTGGGTCCCAGTGCCTGAGGGACCAGCAGGCCAAGCGGAGCCTGCAACCAGCTTCGCCCCTCCTTTTAAGGAGAGTCCTGGTGGCAGGTGGGGAGAGATGAGGAGAGGAGGAAGGGGACCCCTCGCTCCAAAGACCCCACCTCCTTCACAATCCCCGTGGGTTCCAGAGCAGGAGTGCGGGGGTCCAATCTCCGTTCCACCACTTGCATCTGTGTGTTCTTGGAGAAGTAACTTTATCCCTCCAAGATTCCTTTTCTCCGTCTATAAAATGAGGATAATAAGAATACCTTTCTTATAAGGGTGGTTTTTAGATTTAACGAGACTATCCGTGTTATTGACCTAGCGCAGAGCACAGCCACCCGAGAGCACTCTGAAACGGGTGAACTATTATTACTATGATCATTATTATTCTTTTGTCCTTGGACCACATGGAATTTCTTTCATCCTTCTGCTTCCTGTAAGCCAGTGGTGTTCAAACTTGTCTGCCCATTAAAACCACCAGGGACCTTTTAAAAATTCCAAAGCCCAGCCTGTACCCAGAGCAGCGAAGTCTCCAGGGGTGGGCACGGGCACCCGTGGCTTCGAAGCTCTCCAGGTGATTTCAAGGGGTAGTGAGTTTAGAAACCACTGCCCTGTGCCGTCCAAAAGGTTGAGGAGCTTCCTTTAGGGGTGGCAACTTACCTGAGAAACCTCACCCACCATCTGATGTTGGCCTGAGGTCGAGGACCTCCTTTGGATGAGTAAAACCTCTCCTGCTTCACTTTAAGCGAGTTTCTGGTTTGAGGGAGCGGAGAATGGCTGTCACTCTACACCAGTGGCTCAGGTGGTGGTATTTGCTGGGCACTCCTGCCCCAGCCCTTCACAGGAGTGACAGCAGCCCACCAGGGGCCATCAGCTAACAGGAGATAGTCAGGGGATTGGCATTGGGTGCTGGCAGATGGTCATACCCTGAGACAAAAGGCTTCCTAAATGTTCCTCTTTTACTTTATAACAATTTAATAATTCCCCATTTTCAGCAGGAAGGTAAATATCAACCTGGGTGAGCTTCCTATTTACACAGTTGGCAACAGAGACGTATGTGAAGAGGTTAACTACGTGCATCCTTCATAACACGGGTTGAAAGTGAGTGAGGCAAAAAAGCATGGCAGCAGGTGAGAGGGAGGTGGGCTCATGTGTCTAGAGTCTTCAGGGAAGGCTGCCTGGAGGTGGCGGGGAAGGTGGCTTGTATGACTCTTTGGGGTTTCCAATAGGCTCTTCCGTATTTGATCTCAGCTGCTCACTAGTCCGCCTGTGAAGCTGGTATTATTCTCCTGAAACTACAGGCCAGGAAACTGAGGCTCAAGAAGTCAGGTATCTGTGCAAGCCACGGGGCTGGGAGAGGGCAGGGCCAAGATTCAAAGCCACGTTTTGAGAGGCCCAGTCCAAGGATCTTTCACCACGCCACTGTTGCTTCCTGCCTGGGACCTGCCGTCCCATCTCCAGATGCCCCGGTTTTCTCTGTCTCTTCCTGACTCAGAATCCTTGCCTCCAGGCAACTCTCTCACGCTGACCCATCCCAATCTGGAGCGCCACTTCCCTTTCCTTGCTCAGGGTCAACGGGCTTTCTCCTTATGTCTCCTGCGCCCGGGCGCTTCCCTCTCCCACCCAGAGCTCCCCATGGGGGTTAGGCTCAGGACAAGGGCTGTGCAGCCCAGAGGTGCCAGGACTAAGGTGGCAACTGTCCTGACTTGCTGGGGACCGCCCTGGTTTAAGCACTGAAATTCTAGGAAAAGCCGGACAGTTGGTCATGCTACCAGGATCTGAGCGTAGCTATGTTTACGCTTGTTTGGTGTATTATGCTGTTCTGTGCTTTTTCACAGGCCTGTAGCATTGACTTCCTGGGAAATAGATACTCTGATTCCTTTGAGTAGCTGAGGCTCTAGTGTGGACAACTTGCCTAAGATCACAGGTCAGTAACAGCAGGGCTGGGCGCTGAAACCAGCTCCTGCCACTGTAGATTTCAGTCTTACTTTTTCTTCTATCCCACAAACTAAACAGGTCCCCAGCAGACAGGAGGGCGTGGAGGCTGGAGGCTGCCCGCAGAGCCCCTCCCAGTCCGGGGATGCCTTCTGCCCGCCACAGCGCCCAACAGCGCTTGTGTTCTTTCCCACCACCTGCCTCTTCCCACCTCTATAGCTGTTGGCAGCTGTGATTTCAGCTCCAGCGTTTGCAAAAATATTTGCTTATTGCACAAATACAAAAGAAAAAGACATTTTAAATAGTAGGAAGAAAACCTCCTACAATCCTTAATAAAAACAATCCACTTTCTATATTACTTTTTAAGCCTACCTTCTTAATTTTTATGAGTTCATAGCACAGACACCATTGTGTATTTATCTTCCTTCCTTCAACATTGTATCGCTAGTGTTTTCTAATGCTGCTACATGGTCTCCATGATGATAATTTTAAATAAATGTTTCCAAGTGGGTAAGCCATCATTTAGCTATTTTTCTGAATCTGGAGTGTTTTTCCTCCAAGTTTTTAAATTATTATTATTGTTATTAAGTTTTGGATGACATTCACCATCTATTTGAGTCCAGAGGGCAAACACACATTTTTGTTGGCTGACACTGGCATTTGCTGAATGAGTTTTGCCCATGCTTGCTGTCTGGGTCAGTGCTCCACAGAATGTGGGCCCGCACACCCGCACGGGGCCGTGGTCACTGCGTTACTGGTTTGAGAGAACACAAACACAGAATTTGAGAATAACTATTTAGGAGCTTAATTACTCTTTTTTCCTTTTACCATAGAATAATTTTATATCTATTGAATCTAAAAATAAAACACTGGGGCTTGTATTTTGTATATCTTAAAAAAAAAAAATCTCCTTTGAAGGGTAGTTCATTTTATTCTATTGTAGCGTTGGTCTACAATAGATTGGAAATGGGAAAAAAGAAAAAAGAAAAGGAGAGAGACTTTGGGATAGTTTGTCTTTTGGTCTAGAAGACAATGTTAGGTCCTGGCTGATGCTCTGTGAACCTCCAGTCACAGAGCTTTAGTGCTCGGGACCTCGTCTGTTTCGTGTTTGCGGAGCCCGAAGCGTATGGAGCAGCGCGTGATGCACGCGGCCAGATGTAGGCAGTCACGGGCAGAGTCCTCTGCTTTCACTTGCTCTCAATGACCACAAACCTGTGTTTTCATGTGATAAAAATCTGGGGTGTGCCTGGGGACGATAAGAGAGGGGAGCAGAAGCAGGGTGTGGGAGGTCAGAACAAGACTTTTGCCCCACCAGGATATTGCGATGGCAGTAGATGTCTCCACCCTTGTCCCAGCTGTGGTTCCAAGACAGGTGGACAACCCCAGCTTCGCCCCAGATCTCCCGGGCACACCCCAAAACAAACAACTCAATGGCGGAGTTTCTTAGGAAGATATCGGCCAATGATTCGGAGGAAACTGTATATGAGTTTCTAAACTTGATCCTGAGAGATTATTGCAGTCTGATCTCTAAATGGCAAGAGATGAGTGATAAATGATCAAGTTGGGGAAGTTTGTCTACAGTGCAATTTCTGCAACTCCTAGGTGTGAGGTTTTAAGCAGATGTTGCTGGCAGGCAAACTAAACATGAATACTCCCCTCCCAGGATTCGGAAGGTGCCCAGCCCAGTGAGGGCCTGTATATATACAGACTGAGCCAGATCTCTTGCCAAAGGAGTCAGAGCTCCTTCTGCCCCTGGTCTCCGCCTCCTTCCAGCTGGGCCCTTTCTCCTGGCTGCTTCTCTGGATGCTCCAGTAACCATGAGCCGCCAGTTTAGTTCTCGGTCGGCGTTCAGCTCAAGGAGCAGACGGCTTTACAGCGTTGGCTCTTCTGCAGGCTCTGGTGGTGGGAGTCGGGCTGTGGGGTCTGTGTGTCAGGCCCGAGGGAGGTGTGGCAGTGGTGGGTATGGGAGCATTGCGAAGGGGTTTGGCTCCAGGAGCCTCTACAATCTGGGTGGCAGTAAAAGCAACTCTATTAACCTGGTGGGGAGAAACACCAGTGGATTCTGCCAGGGCGGGAGAGCAGGAGGGGGATTTGGAGGGAGCAGAAGCTTTGGGGGTGGTGGTGGCTTTGGGGGCGGTGGCTTTGGAAGTGGCGGCTATGGAGGAGGTGGTTTTGGGGGTGCTGGGTTTGGGGGTAGCAATTTTGGGCTTGGGGGCTTTGGTCCTTCTTGTCCCCCGGGAGGCATCCAGGAGGTGACCATTAACCAGAGCCTCCTACAGCCACTTCACCTGGAGGTGGACCCTGAAATTCAGAGGGTCAAGGCCCAGGAGCGGGAGCAGATCATGGTCCTCAACAACAAGTTCGCCTCCTTCATTGACAAGGTGAGTACCCCAGGGGCAGGCAGAGTCTCTGGTCTCTGACCAAATGACTGAGAGGGCCTTGTGCCCTGCCATCTCTCGCCACTCAGTGTGGTGGTGATAATCACTTCCAGATGTGTGTCCTGGGGTCTTAAGAAAGCATTTGCCTAATTTAGGCCTCAACTTGACTTATTGAGGAGATTTATCTCTATCTTTTCCTTTTGGCAAGAAAGCAGATAAGAGGAATGAAAATACCAAACAAACAAAATACATGATGTAGTAACCTCATTCTCATTCATTATTCACTTTGCAACCATCCATCCATCCATCCATCCATCCATCCATCCATCCACCAATACACCCAGCCATCCACCCATCCACCCATTCACCCATCCATCCATCCATCCATCCATCCATCCATCCATCCATCCACCAATACACCCACCCATCCACCCATCCACCCATCCACCCATCCATCCACCCATCCGCCCACCCATCCACCCACCCATCCAGCCACGCATCCATCCATCCACCCATCCATCCATCCATCCATCCATCCATCCATCCACCCATCCATTCACCCATCCAGCCCACAAACATTTACTTAGCATTTACTATATGTCAGACACTGTACCAGGTGCTACAGGGTGACTAGGACACAGGTCCTTCGATGGCAGTGACTCTTGACCCTAGTTTCTGATCTGGTCTTCTTGCTTTCACCCTTAATCCCATCCAGCCTATTCTCAGCACCACCTTTAAAAATTCATCACATCACTCCTCCATTTGAACCCTCTGTTGGCTTCTTGTCTCATTTGGAGTAAATGCTAAGATCTTATAAGCCTCTACATGATCTGGCCCTCCAATCCCCAGATGCTGCTAACCCCTGGCTTGCAGTTGTGAGAATTAGGCAATGTTGCCACCACCAGGTGGAACAGATCTCAGGCTGCAAGGTTTAGTGAGCAGAGTGAGGGCTGCAATTTAGCTCCCCAGGGTACAAACTCCCTGCAGTGGCCCTGCACGCTCTTTCTGACTCCTCTTCTGCGTTGTCCTTGCTTACCAGTGCCTTATTGCATTCTTGCATCTTCCAGCATCCCAAGCATGGTCCTACCTCAGGGCCTTTGCACTTGCCATTCCCTCTGTTTGGAACTCCTCCCTCCAGAGTGGTCTGGCCTCCCCTGTCACCTCCTTTAGGTCTTTGCTCACATGCCATTGTCTCAGTGAGACCTTCCTTGCTTTCCCCCATACCAGCATCCTTATCCACCTTCCCTGTGTTACTTTTCGCCATAGCCCCTACAGCCATTTGACATGCCAGGTATTTCACATGTTTGTTTCTTTACAGTCATCTCTGAATAGAATGTAAACTCCTGAAAAATGAGTTTTGTCTGTTTTGTTTATAATTGAATCTCCAACACCCAGAATAGTGCCTGGCACATGAAACTGGCTCAATAAATATGTGTTGAATGCAAAACTGAGTCAGCCCTTCAGGTGTCAGGCTGGGACCCTCAGAGAGTGGGAATGGAGACGAAGTCTTTTTTAGAACTGACAACAAAGGAAAGAGACCTCAGGAAGGAAGGAGGGGTCCAGCTCTTCCCATGGGGACACTGGCCTGGCTTGTTCAGCTGAGCTCGAATCCTCTATGCCAGGGTAGGGAGTGGCCTGGGCAGTAGTAGCAGGCAGTTCCAATGCCCTCAGCATCTCCTTAGTCCAGGACACTTCTGAACTGTCTTCTCTGTGTTGGGCACCATATGTCCATGGGTCTCAGTGCCCTGTGTCCACTGGGGAACAAAGAGGCATGGGGCTGCTTTCCTGGGGCTCACACCCCAGCAGGGGAGGGACACACTAAAACAATGCCAAAAGAACGCAAATCACGATAGATGCTACGGGGAAACAACAGGGGTGTGAAGGGACAACACCAGGGGATGCCACCTTAGTGGTGATCTAACAGGAGTTAGGCAGGCAAAATGCTGGGGAGAGCCGGCTGCTGCGGCCCCTGGGGTCAGTCACTGTGGCGGGAGAGTCCCAAGTGGGAGGCGGAGGGGCACAAGAGGCCGAGTGGGGTGTGCTTTTCCCAGTAAGAAGGTCAGCTCAGTAGGATGCTAAGTTTTATCTGTGTTATCTGAGCTTCCCCTGAGTATTGCCAATGGGACACAGCCAAGGAGCATTTTGGGGGACCTGGGGAAAAAGCACAATGGCTTTCATTGATTTTTCTAGTGGATAAATTCCATGAAAACTGCCTGGCACGCCCTGAGCCAGCCCCGGGCTTTGCAGTGCGGGTGGCCTGATGAGAACCCCATTTCTTTTGCTGAGCTCCTGAGACACCGCGCTTGGGGCAGAGCACCCAGTGGGGTTCCACCACCTCCTTGCTGTCTGAGTGGAGATTCCCCGTGGGACCGTAAGATTCTTTCTTTTGGTTCCCACAACACAGAGCACAGGGCTGTGATCGAGTGTCGGATTGGTCTCTCCACCCCTGGGGAGTGGCGCCAGGGTAAAACTGGCGGGGTGGCAGGTGTTTCTCACGGGGTGTTCTGAGCTGTGCCAGCAAAGCTGTGCGAGCTGGCTGCCTCATCTCCTGCTTTGATAAAGCGAACAAACCTGGGTCACGGGAAAGTGTTCTCTGCACACATTTTCCAGCCTAGAGTCAGAACCCAAAGAGAGTTACCAAGGGTTGGGACCTCAGACCGGGGGGACTCAAGGGCTGGGGATCCTGGGCACCCTCCTTAGTGCCACATTGTAGGGGAGTGTCTTCAGGGTTCTGTTCTGACAGCACAAAGCAGTGGGTTTGCCCCCATACCCAGCTCCCAGATGGATTCTGGAGGGGACGTGTGTGTGTGTGTGGGTGTGTGTGTACAAGCACCTGAGCACAGCATAGAGGCATCCACCATCTTCACCTAAGACCTGGGTGGGTGGGTGGGGGCTCCATCTGTAGGCAGAGGGAAGGTGAGGGTCAATCATTATCATGCAAAGGGCAGTCCACGCACTTGGTCTGCACGGCCAGTCAGCTCTCTGGATCCTGTGCCTGACCTCTGTGTCCGCAGTTTTGGGGGAAGAGGTAGCGAGACCCTAGGGTGATGCCCCCTCTCCATTCTCTGAGCTAATGAAGGAAATAGCGATATGGGTATTTGCCAAACACTAGGCAACCCCAAATCCTTACTTTGGGGCACTAGAACGCATTATACCACATTACAAAACTGAGAGCATTTACTTTTTAAATTCTGTCTGGGTTATAAAAGCATTTAAGTGATGTGACTTTCCTGAAAAACATACTGGCAGGCAGTGGTGGGGGCGGGGGGGCCTGCAGGGTGAGGACACTCAGGCAAGTCTGCTCAGGGATCAGTTTAATATTCTAAGCCAAATTCTTCCCTCCTCTTAAGTTCTCCTCTCCTCAATCGCATAAGGCATTTCAACCACAAAGAGAGAGGAGCCTTGCATGTGTTAGTGACTCACATGCTCCGGTCACCACTTCCTTCCGCTGGCATGATGATCTGGGTGCAGGGAGCGACAGCTCTATGACGTAAATGGCCACAGCTGAAGGAGACAAGGCCCTCAGTTGGAAGGGATTTACCTTCTGCACCAGAGTCAGCTTAGTGTTAATTTCAGGCAAGTTGAACTTACAGCCACTGGTCAACCATCAGAAAGCACCCTGCGTTTGTGTGTCCTGGTCCTGGAGAAGGGGAAGCTCTCTGACCCCTGCAGAGGCCATCCTGGTTCTCAGAGGTCTGGTTATGCCCTGGGGCTGTCTGTCCTCCTCCCTGTGGGGGAGCTTCTTGGACCCATGGCCACAGTCATGAACTTGGAGGTCTCTTGCTTTTAGGTGCGATTCCTGGAGCAGCAGAATCAGGTGCTACAGACGAAATGGGAGCTGCTGCAGCAGGTGGACACGTCGACTCGGACCAACAACCTGGAGCCCGTCCTGGAGAAATACATCAGCAAACTGCGGAGGCAGGTGGATTTCCTCAACGCGGAGCAGATGCGCCAGAACACAGAGATCAGGAGCATGCAGGATGTCGTAGAGGACTACAAGAACAGGTGAGGCTCCAGGCAGAGCAAAGGGGTCGGGGAGGAGATGGCAGGGAGCTCATTCATGGGGCAAGACATCCTGCTTTAGTGTTAACGTGCAAACGGTGGTGGTTTCAGCGCCACGAGGGCTCTGCACTGCACAACCACAGGGGGCGCCATTTTGCATATGGTGGCCCTGGTAGGATGGTATTGCCAGTCAGCTCTCAACTGCATTGGATGAGGAGGGGCAGATTGACTTTACGGATGTTGGAGCTAGATGAATCTGCGTTTCGGTGTGGGCTTTGCCGCTCTCTGGCTGCCTGAAAGTTTGTCTTTCTAAGACTTTAGCACTCACATTGTTGACCCTCCTTGTTGGGTCATTGTGAGGGGTCTATCTGTGGCTCTCAAACTTTAGTGTGTACCAATTTGTTAAAAGCAGATTGATTGAGAAGGTCTGGGGTGGGGCCAGGGTGTTTGCATTTTCTAACGTTTCCAAGCGATGCTGATGCTGGTGGACTGAGAACGGCTGATTCGGATGCAAGTATTTTTAGTAAGTTATTAGGTTATGTCTGCACATACTAGCACCCAATAAGCACTAACTATTATTAATAATAATGGTAGGGGTGACAGAACTTGTCTAATTCTAGATCAGCTGCCCTGGCACTGGGCGGGCATCTGAGCGACTCCTGCTCCCGAAGCTGGGGCTGCAGGGTGCTTCTCTCAACATCACCCTGACATGCTTATTGCATCGGGCCAGCAGAGTTAAGTGTCTGTGAGTTGACAAGGGAGAGATGAAATTCACGTGGAAGGTGTTAGGGGGCAGAATTTTAGGTGGAATTTTTTTCTCTTTAAAAAAATTTAGTAAAAATGCTTGTCACTTGAGGTTCTCAATTAAAAAAATGATTGAGCTTGACAAATTTACAAAGGTAAAACATCAAAATAAAAATGGACATTTTGGGGGCATTCTGTGTGGCTCTGGGTTTTCAACATTGAGTCATTTGTTATTCTCTCCGTTGACCTGGAGAACCAGGAGGTGGTTCCAGCTGCTTGTCAGGGAGAGTGGCAGGCCCTGGTGGGGGACAGCGAGAGTCCAGGACAATAAAAGTTTGGGAAATTCCAAGCCTCTCGCTGCAAGGAGAAATCTCAAGGAGCCAAGGCCGGCCCCTGAAGCCTGTGTGTATTTCTTGTGTCACCCCGCAGATATGAGGAAGAAATCAACCGAAGGACCAGCACTGAGAATGACTTTGTTGTGCTGAAGAAGGTGAGGGATGGGGGTGTTGCAAGGGGGACTATGGGCCCAGGAGGCTGAGCAGAGTGAGCAATTCCTGTGGGATGCTACATGACCGAGGGATGGACAGGGTGACCTCAGGGGCCAGTCTGCTGAGTGTGTTGCCCAAATCCTGGGGCCCTTACACTGAAGGGGAGAGTCTGAAAGTGATGCTAATGTGAATCTTTAGCAACCCTGGAGTTTTTATCTTTCCAAGGTCCTGAAAGTGAAATTAAATTAACTGACAGCTTTTGAGTGTCCGTTATGTGTGGCCTTGGGACCTGGGGACCGACCTGGGGTGTTGTGTGTGACTGACCAAGAGGAGGAGCTTGGTGTCACACTTCCTTCTGGCCAGGAAAAGCCAGGGTTTACAGGCCTCTTATTTGAATGAGGTGAGGAAATTTGCAGGCAAAGAAATAAACCCAGAGGGCTTTGCCACTTGTCCGGGCCACCTAGCCAGCTGGTGGGAGGCAGCGCCTGGCAATAAAGTCAGCCTGTCTTTGCTTGCTGTTCAGGATGCGGATGCTGCTTACATGAGCAAAGTGGACCTGCAGTCCAAGATGGACGTTCTGTTTGGAGAGGTCAATTTCCTGAAATACTTATTTCAGACGGTGAGTTCAGTCTTCACGGGAAACCCTTCTCTTTTCTCACATCTCACAAGAGTTGTGAGTTCTTGGGTCACCTCAACTCTGGGGGCCCAGAGTCAGCCATCCTCTCAACCCCTGGTGCTCAGAATTCCTGGGTGGGGGCACTGGAGATGGGAGGCAGGGCGAATTCCAAGGTAGGAGAAGGTGGAGTTGTCCCCGCTTCTGTCTGGGAAATGAGGTTGACACGGGGACATGCAGGGGCAAAACCAGCCAGAAATCTTCATCAGCTCTGGGAAGTCAATGGGGCTATAAGGGACTCTGAAGGATAAGGCAGTGTGGACTAAAGGGACAAAGATGAAGTCTGCAGTGGTGAGGGATAGTCTGCTCCCACCTTCCCTCCACCCCCATCCTACAGTCACCTGTGTCTAACTGGGGGCACCTGCTCTGGACGCGATGCAAGGAGCTTTACCATGTCTTGGGCATCTCCATTCCACAGAGGAGAGAACTGAGGCACTGAGGGATTCAGTTACTTGCTCAGTCAATGGTAGAGCCCAGACTCAACAGTGAGTGTGAGTGGCTGCACAAGTGGAGTCCATCTTACTGCTTCTGAGAGCTCATGTAGCTTCAAGGAGCAAGGACCTCTGCCTGTCAGAGGTCCCTGCCCAAGATGGCGGCCAACCAGAGTAAGGCAGGGAGAGAGGGCACTGTGGTGGGCAGCTGGTGTCTATAAGGACTCCAGTGCAGGCTCCTTTCTTCTCCCTGAAGGCTAGGTCTGGCCGCCTTTACCTTTAGTTAAGGTACCCCTCAGCGCACAACAACTATTCAAAGAACTTTCCCCCAAGACTCCCATATGCCCATGGCTTCTGGCTTCCCCAGAGAGCCTTGAGGGGGCAGAAGAGGGAAACTGAGGCCCCAGGAGGAGAGTGGAAGGAGCCAGCGTGTGCTCCATGCCTTGTAGGAGCTGTCCCAGATGCAAACCCACATCAGTGACACCAATGTCATCCTGTCCATGGACAACAACCGCTCCCTGGATCTGGACAGCATCATCGACGCAGTGCGGACTCAGTACGAGCTGATCGCTCAGAAGAGCAAGGAGGAGGCCGAGGCGTTGTACCAGACCAAGGTGAGCATGGCTGCCCCCGGCAAGACGTGGTATCCCAAACCCAGACAGACCTCCAGAACTTGTGCTGTCTTTGTCCTATTTCTAAAGTAAAACTGTTTGTTATAGAAAATTTAGAAATTACAGATAAAGGTTACTCATATCCCTTGACCACTATTAACATGTCAGCATACTTTCTACCGGTTCCATGTAGCCAACATTTACTGAAAACTCATGTGTGCCAGGCAGCGCACTGAGAGCTGTATGTACATTATTTCATTTACTCCTTACGACAACCCGATGGGGTGAGGATTTCATCGTGTCTATTTTATGGATAGTAGAGTATGAGGTCACCTAATTTCTCTAAGCTCTTGTGGCTGGTGAGTGGCAGAGGCAGAACTCAACTCAACTCAGCTGTGCTGTCTAGAAACCCATGTTCTCAAACACCATTATGGTTTTCACTTGTATTTTTCATAACAATATCTTTTAAAATAGAGTTTTTACTTTTCTCTTTCACTCGTCACTCATGAATGACTTTCTGTGACACTCAGTATTCTACGTTGTTTTCCGTGGCAGCGTGGTCTTCCGTGCTAAGGACATACCCTCACTGATGAGATAAACGTCTGTGTAGCTAAGTCTTTGGGCTCATCTTTGGTTAATTCTTTAACTTAAATTAGCCTGGATCATTCTGGAAGGTGAAGGCTCTGCAGTTGTGTCAAAGCCGTTCACTAAATTCTGAACACCAGGCACTTGAGATCTGCTTTGTGGATTACCTGTGCCCACCTCCAATCCTGGCTGGCTTCTGTCCCACTGTCCTGTAGGCAGGTGTGCTGAGTGTCACGATTTCAGTGTCAGACTGGGGAGGTGAAGGTCAACAGTGAAAACAGCAGCAGACTTTCCCTTGAGCCAACCCCACTCTTGCTTCCTTCAGAGTCGTGGCCGTGGGTAGAGTTCCTATTGATGGGGCCGCACAGACACAGAAACGGAGACAGAGAGGAAAATGTGAATAAACGTGGAGCTGAGGGCCTCTGGGGAAGTGAGGTCCTGCCTGCCAGGCAAATCGTTCTGGAAAGGGCGGGAAGAATATGGTGGGGTGGAAAAAGTGAGGGGTCCCAGGGTGGGCAAGGGCCAGCGTGAAAGCTTAGACATGGGGAAAAGGAGGTAAAAAAGGGCATCCAGAAGCAAGTTTGTCTGTCTGGGATGCCCAAAGACTGATGGGAATGAGGGAGGTTTGATATAGATATGTGTGGTGTGCATGTGTGTGTGCATGTGTGTGTGCATGTGTGTGTGGTGTTGCAGCTCAGACAAGGGAGGTTTGGTATAGCTGTGAGCGTGTGTGTGGGGATCACAGCTCTGGGGGGCTTTCTCAGGGAACTTTCCCTGCGGGGAGCAGCCTTGGACTGGGTCTGGGAGGGCAGACCTGCTCCCTCCTGGAGGGGCTCATGGAGAGCAGCAGGCTGACCACGATGCTGCCTTCGACCCTCAGTACCAGGAGCTCCAGATCACGGTGGGAAGACATGGAGACGAGCTGAAGAACAGCAAGGTGGAGATCACTGAGCTCAACCGCACCATCCAGAGGCTGCAGGCAGAGATCAGCAACATCAAGAAGCAGGTGGGACAGGTGCTCAGGGTGGGCTGACCAGACACGCCGCCTCCCACAGCGCCCGGTCAGCTGGGGCTCCTGAAACTCAGTACCTGCTCGGTTCTTCTCCGTGATCATCTCCTGAGCAGATCGACCAGATGCACATGGCCATTTCGGATGCAGAGGAGAGAGGAGAGCAGGCCCTCCAGGACGCACGGCAGAAGATGCAGAACCTGGAGGAGGCCCTGCAGCAGGCCAAGGAGGAGCTGGCCCGGCTGCTGCGTGACTACCAGGCGCTGCTGGGAGCCAAGCTGTCCCTGGACGTGGAGATCGCCACCTACCGCAAGCTGCTGGAGGGCGAGGAGAGCAGGTGGGCCGTGTTCTGGGGGCCAGAGTGCAGTTTGCACCCCTGGGGTGGTGGGACTGACTATTTGGAGAGAAGACAACCCCAGCTTTTCAGGGAAGATTGGTAGCCCAGGGGGAGCAGAAACTTCAAGTCAGAAGCAGAGGATACGTGAGTTGGCAGGGTCATCGTCATCATTCTCCTGCCTCTAAGCAGAATGTCCCTAACCCCAACCTACGGCAGCCAGGTGGTGACCCCTCAATGCTAAAAGGCTTCCAGAAAATGCTTAAAATGCCCTCTGGCCCCACTGGCTCTCTGACCCCCCTGCCCGTGCACACACCTTTCCCTGAAGCCTGGGGACGGCTCTCGCTGCCCCCATCATTGCTTCCGATGTCTCCAGGCTGCTGCCCTCCTTCAGGCTCTGCGAGCCCGGCTGATGTGTGTGCTCTGGTTTTACAGGATGTCCGGAGAGCTGCAGAGCCACGTGAGCATCTGTAAGTAGCAGAGCTGGGTGTAGGGGCTGTTGGGTGTTGGGGGTAGGGAGGCTGGGGAGGGTTGGCCAGCAGGGACCTGGCAGGGGGCGTTTTAGTTTCCAGTCCCACACAAGGAAAACCGAAGTGAGCAGCACAGCTACAAAGCCTGGAGATATTCGCTGAAATAAATTGTTAGACTTTTGTTCTTCTTTATCTTAATTTTTATGATGCCTAAGAACAAGCAGTGGCTTAGAACTCTTTAGGGTACATCCGTTTGTTGTATGAAGAATACTTTCACAACGGGAATACTTTCATTCAATGCATCTTTTTGCAAGGCAGTTGCTGCCAGTGATGAAGGATGGAGGAGGCTGCCCCGAGGCGGGTGCAGGCGGGTCCGGCCCCCACCCTTCTTCTGACCCCCGCTGGGGCTGCTCTCTCCCTCACAGCTGTGCAGAGCAGCCAGGTGTCCATCAGCGGCGGGGGCGGCGGCGGTGGTCGAGGCTCTGGAGGTTACTGCGGCGGAGGAGGCGGCAGCAGCAGCTCCCGCGGGGGCTACGGAGGGAGTTACGGAGGGAGCTACGGAGGAGGCTATGGCGGGGGCAGTCGAGGGGGTTACGGGAGCGGCAGCGGCGGCGGGAGCTACGGAGGCAGCAGCAAGTTCAGGGGCAGAATCAGCGGCGTCTCCTCCCACGTGCAGATCGTCCAAACGTCTACCAACACCTCCCACAAGCGAGTGCTGGAGTAGAGAGAGCGGAAGCCTCCCACGCCCTCCACCGCAGGGCTCTCTCCTGTCACCGCCCCCGCGCCCTTCCCGACTCTCTCTCACTTACCTTTTCCTGATGGGTCTCAGCAGTTTTGCCAATAAATTACACCCTAGATGGCAAGCAGGTGGACAACCCCAGACGGCAGATCTACCTCTGGAGGGCACGGCTGGCAGTCAGAATCACAGCCTGGCACATTCTCAACTCAGACTCCACCCAGCTGGCCCTGCTCCTGTCCCTGGGGGATGCCCAGGGGCCCAGTTTGGCCCTGGAGAAAAAGCTGTAGAGCATCTAGAAGGCGGATAATGGAGAGGTGATGTCAAGGACACCAGGTGTCTCCCTCCCAGGCTCCCTTTCCTGCCCTTGGGCTGCTCTGTGAACAATGAGCCATTCCTCAGGGGACCCACAAAACAAGGCCTTTGGGGAGGTAGCTGATGGCAAGGCAAGCCAGCTTGGTAAGGGGACCTCTGTGCCGGGGACCAATTCCTGCCTCTGGGTCTGTGGCCTCACACTTCCCCGCTGATGCGGAGTGTGGATTTGCTGCTCACATCAGACCCCTGTTAAGTTGTGTCTGGTCCTGACTTTGAATCTGGGTCTCTGGAAGAATTACCCCCCGGGCAAACAGCCCAAGGTGGGAGCATTTCAGAGGGCATGAGTCCTTGTCCACAGGGACGACTGTAATTAGCAGTGAATGGAAGAGTCGATTGACAGGCAGTTAAGTTCTGATCTGTCCTGCGCCTCCTGACACCTCCGTCCCTTGGAAGCCTGGCCCTTCCTGACCTCTGCTCCATAATGGCCCTCCTGAGAATCGTCCAACAGGCTGGCCGGGTGCAGCCCAGCTCTACTCCATCCTGGTGCCCAGGCCCCGAGGAGTCTGAGGGTCAGACGTGGGTCCTGGACAGTGCGCTCCTGAGTCAGTCTGGAAGCTGGCTGTTATTCTCAAGGCAGCTCCGTGCTCTTTCCTAGACAGCAAAGTCCCATCTGCCTCCTGTTCCCTGTGAGTGAGCATGCCGTGAGGATTTCACTCTTGCTTCTGAGCCTTACATAAGATGCTTGAGATGTGCTGGAGGAGACAGGAAGAGGAAGGTATCTGCCAACTAACGGGCCTTGAGAGAGCAAAGGTGGCTTTGCTTCTGAGAGCTGGCGTCACCTTCACTTGCTTGCTGGGTCCTAACACAACCTCCAAGTTCGCGATTCTCGTGGAGCAGCTGATGGGCTTGGTGTGTGCAGCCTGGGGAGGGCTGGGACTTCATCATTTCCTGGTTGAAGGTTGTACCTTGAAAGGCTTGATATTTTGGGTGTTTCTACAATAAACTTTTCTGTGATTTCGAATTGCTGTTTGGTCAGAAGATGAGTTATTTCTTCTTTAATTGCTGCAGGCCTCTGAAATTATTCATATTTGGGATGTAAAGTTTATTTTTTTATTGCATGAGTAATGCACAATCTTGAAAACCTTACAGACATAATTTTACTAATCCTTAAAGTGGCTGATCATTGAGAAGTCAGTTACACATTTGTTCAGCAAGCAATTATTTATCTCCTACTGTGTGACAGGCAGTGGCCTAAGCACAGGGAATGCAATGTCGAATGAGCACGTTTCTGCATCTCAAGGCACTCACAGCCCAAAGGATGTGTTATGGGGGAGGGGAAGGTTCAGAGGGAGGAGAAATTGGAGTCTGTGCCCCTGTGCACCTTTAGCCTGAGGGTGGATGCAGGGCCTATCCTGTGGACACAGGCAGACCCACCACAACAGGAGCAGTGGGGCTGCGGCAGGTGCCAATGCTGAGGGAGGGATGTTTGTTCCTGAGAGGCTCTTGGAGGGCTGGAAAGTGGAGCAGGCTCAGGGGACAGCATGGGGGCAGGCGTGAACAGGGCCTCAGGGAAGGGCCCTTCAGACAGGGGAATAGCCTGCCAGAGACTCAAAGATAAGAGGGGATGAAACTGAGAGGGGGAGACAAGATGCTGAGCCCACTAACCCCGTGGGGGTCATGAGCAGGGGCGTCTTTGATCGATGCCCCTGAGGGAAGCGTAGGTACAGAGATTCAAGAACGGAGGAAGCAAAGCTATCACCTTATTTCATGTGATATTTCTGAGTCTGTGTAAATGAGTCACATAAGAGACGTGACCTACTTTCTCATCCCCTGCAGGAATACAGATGGAATTTGCATGTGGGATTCATTCAAATATGACTGCTACCCATATCGATAGGATACTGTGTTCCCAGGCACGCCTTACATTCTCTCTGAGAAGTTGCTCCCCATCTCACCTGTCTTGGCAGCGGACCTGTGGGGGAACCGGCTGGGAGAGAGACAGGTGGGCAGAGGAGCTGCCCGAAGGGAAGGAGGGAGGGCGCAGATAGATGTGATGTCTTGCACTTGAAGTCAAAGACCAAGAGTATGGGGACAAGGACGGAAAGACAAGGACGAATACTAGTGGGTGTAAACATGATTGAGAGTATTCAGCTGACGTTGACAGCACATGAGCCAACGGGGTGTGGTGGCTGCTGGGGACAGGCATGAGGACAGGGAGAGAGTAGTGTGCAGAGCCTGCTTTGGCTCTTCTGTAGTCAGACCACTCTGAGGACATTACAAGACAGGAGCCCATTCAGAAGGCAGGGGTCAGGACGGGGGTGGTGGGGGAATGAGAAATCTGGCCTCATGAGGACCGTGGAAGGCGCTGGAGGTCTGTGGGGGAGACATGACAGCTAACTGCAGAGATCTAAAGAGCTCCCTAGCAGAGAGGGGTTGGCCCCAGCTGATGACTCAGATGGACAGGTGAGAACTGCAGTGGATTTGGCTCAATATAATAAACACCTTTATGTTGATCCTGAGACGGGAGAGGCCATGAGAGGAGTTAGCACATTTCAAGCAGAGGTTGGCTAACCATCTGGCAGGAGGTGGAGGGCGGGAGTGAAGAATGCATGGGGATACCTGTATGCCAGCATGTCATATCTTTGCTGCCTGAAGAGTTCACATGATGGAGCCTGAGAAAGAAGAAATCCTCTTCTCTATTTTATATTTGGGAAAATCAAGGTCAGATACCAGGAAAGATCAAGTCATGGAGAGGCCAAGGGCCCAAGTCAGGACTGTAACATGAACCCAAGCTTTCTGGCGCCACCAGACCCGTTCCAGGTGCAGACTTGATTTACTTGGGATCGTGCATGTGTGGTGATGTTCTGAGGGGATCCAAGTAGACTCTGGAGAAAACACAAGGGCGAGGTCCCATCAGAGATCATCTTTCCCATCCTTTTTCTTCTAGCAGGAATTGTGATCATCCCAGAAAACACAGCCCTGCCTTCTCTCTCCAGAAGCCTTGACCATCTCAATCCTGGAGGACTGGGGGCCAGACAGAAGGAATCATGTGCCCGAGTCTTAGGAATATTGGAACAGAGATTCTGCAGAGCAGGGGCATGAGAAATGTACACCAAGGAGAGAGGAGCTAGTCAAGGAGGATCTCGAAGGCTAAATGAGAATCCTGGATGTGATATGCTGAGCCTGAGCAATGGGGGCTGGCACTAAAGACACTCGGGGAGGTTTCCTGGTAGAAACAATATTCCTGAGATCCTATCAGGAGCATATGCCTCTCACCTCTAACTCACCCCAGTGGAAACAATGAGCAATTGCATGGCCCTTTACCATGTACAAAATGCTCCCACCAGCATTGCCTCGTTGGGTTCTCACTGGCCCCTGGAAGAGGGCTGGGGAGACCCCATGTGGGAAGGCTGCGGTCCTTCCAGGGAGCGTGGAGCACTCCATCCCTGCTTCTGGTCAATGCTATTCCCTCACGGCTGATACTCCAAGGGAGGGCCAGGCAGGCCCTCTATTAATCAACGGAGGAGAGGCAGGAGGGAGCCGGGCACCCAGGCAGCAAGACTCTTGGGGACAGTCTGCCAGCTGCTCCTCCCTCTGAGAGGCTGCGGCAGGGCAGGGTGCTCTGGGAATCTAAATTTAATCTCATCAGTTTCTCATCTATATAGATTTTGATCTCGAGACACGGTGAACGGGAGGAGCCACCTTTGGCTCAATAAAATCCTAACTCTGTCTAACCTTGGACAAGGTGGGCGTTTCTGGGCTGGGAAAGTCCTCGGTCTAAGGAAGTCTCTCAGGAATGTCACCTCACCCTCAATTACCGGCCTTTTGGCCCAGGATGTGTCTTCAAATTATGAGTCACATGCTCTGACAGTCCCTCTTTAAGCTCAGTGTCACTCCCATTATTTTGTTGTTCCTGCTGTCCTGGTTTTATCAACTTTCTGATCAGTCCTGGAAACTGTCTTCAGGTTGATCAACACTCTGTTGCAAGGCAGAGCTTGGAGCTTGCGTTGTTGGAAGGTTCTAGAGCTTGGAGGATCGGTTCTGGACATCCCAGTGCCAGGCCTGAAGGGGGCTCCGAGGGTGAGGTCTGGTTTCCACGCCTGTCCCAGTGTGTTCAGCCCTGGGGATTGTCCCCACCCTGCAGAGCAGGCATTCCACAGTGAGAGAATTCCCGGTCTAGCTTAGCTCCCTTCGGCTTCGGGTGCACATAGCAGCCCTACCCGTGTGCGATGGGCCCTTAGCTTCCTGATTATAGATTTATGGGTCCCCTCAGACTTTCTCCCACAAGATGGCCTCATTTCAAGAACTTATACTTCCTTTCCAGATCTTTTCACTGTTTCCCATGAAACAGGGGCTCGTTCCAAAGCTTTCCCTGATTGTTATATCATCTTCTGGTTCTTTCCAAATGCAAGAGTGAGAGAGACTCCACCCTCCTCCCTCTATCTATCATCTACTACATTTCAGTTTCCCTGTAAGGCAGATATAGTCTCTATTTTACAGATGAGAAAACTTAGGCTCGGAGAGGGTAAGTGACCTGCCTAGGGTCACGCAGCTAGAAATTTGCAGTCAGGTGTGGGACCCGGTCTGGCTGACTCCATACCTCAAAATAAGACAACCTCCGTCTCGCCTCTTCTCCAGGCCCCTCTTTGCCTTCCTCCTTTCTGGCCTCTGCTCTGCTGCAGCACTGTTAGTGCGTGCCTCCTCGGGGCCTCCTTCTTTGCTGTCTGTCCTGAACAGGCGGCCCCCAGTTCTGCACCTCTCTCTCCTGCACAGGGAGCCTCGGCCTCTCTGAGGGTTGCCAGCTTTTGACATCTCACCTGCCTCCCCATTGTCTGTGTTCTCCCTTACCCTCCCAGGCTTCAGCTTTCCCCATTCTCCTGACATTTCCTTCTCCCGTGTCCCCAGGGGAGTCCCACAGGCCCGGGTGACTTGTCATTGCATGTCTCTCTTCAAATCTTTGCTCAGTCCCATCCCTCAAAAAGCTCTCAAAACATCACCACACCCACCCCTGCCCATGCCCACAGCTTGCCTGTGGCAGCATCTCAGTGCTCGGTTCTGGGGGTTGGGGGGGTGTGGGTCCTTGAGACTTGAGGTGTTTCAGTGCTCTGTTATCCAGCACTGAGGGAGGCACCCCTCAGGTGCAGGGGACCGTGTGGGAGGTTGGGGAAAGAGGAGGTGCTGGGGGGGCACCCAAAGACACAGAGGACTCAGTCTTGCTTTCAGAAGGTTTGCAGAGCAATTGAGGGACCAGTACACACACACACACATGCACACACACAGTGAAAATGAGCCAATCGATACCTCAATGTGCACTTGATTTTGGTAGCAACTGAGATGAGAAAAAGAAACCAACGGAGCAGCTGAGTGGTGTCAATCAAGGTAAACTGCCTGGAGGAGCAGGCCTGTCCACTGCTGGCGGAGCAGAGATGCAGGCATTTGCCCTCAAGGCCAGATGGACTGACAATAGATTCAGGCCCAAGTGCTCAGGAACTGAGACCTTAGGTAGCCTGGAGCTCAACTATGGGTAGGAGTTTGAAGAGAGTTGCCGAGGCAACTGGAGGGCCTTTAGAGAAGAGCAGAGGAGAAGTGGGCTTGGAAGGCAGAGAGGAACAGAAGAGGAATGAACAGTCTGTGCAAAGCCTGGGAGTGGAAAGGTCGAGTGCAAGGCTTCGTGACGGGGATCAGGAAAGCCACAGGTGATGCAGGGGCCGGAGGCCGGCCAGCAGCAAGAGGAGGCCCACGGGAGGAAGGCAGGGGGCAGTTGGGGTCTGAGAAGCTTGGGTGTCAGTGACCACCTGGGGGAAGTGGGGCACATATTTTAACCTTTATGAACCTACCTTGTCTTTTCTTTAAAACGGGGCTAATAACTACCATCACATGGGCTTAAATGAGATCTACTCCTAGCACACAGTTGGCGCTTGTAGATGTTAGTGCCTCTTTCATCTTCCATTTTGTCTTTATTTTATAAATGCAGAGCACACAAATAAGCCAGGAATAGGGGCGTGTGGTTAACACCTCTCTCCCATTCTCCATGTGCTTTTTCATATCACCATGCACCCACCACACTCCTAGGACACCGCAGGACACGATGCACTTGGATAGCTGGCAGCATTGCAGTTTCCGGCCCTCCTGAGTCCCCTCAGAAGTGAGCAATGGAGAGAGAACAGGAGTGTGATTCAGAAATTGGAGGATTCCCAGGAATTGATTGCATGACTTGGAGACATTTTTTCCTCTGTTGGGTCTGCCTGCTCACTTCTTCAAGAGGCAGGTTAAACAGGGTGGGGGGTGGGGGGTGGTCTTTGAGTCCCTGTACCTGGGAACATCCTGTGATTCTCTGTGCACTCATTTACAGGAACCAGCTCCACTCGCCTGTCCTGGAGCCTCTTCTCCAGTTTGGGAGGAAGAACACTTGAAATGAAACCAGAAAACTCAGGTTCTAGTCCCAGATGTGTCTTTTCCTGGCTGGAGAGTCTAAGCCAGTCACTTCATCTCTCTGAACCTCGGTTTTCTGTTTTGTAAAGTGGGTGGGAAACAGCTTGACCGCCTAGTTCTCAGGGGCTCCCAGGGATCGTGTTTCTGTATGTTCTTGGTGAGGTGAACTGTGCCATGCAAGCTAATGGTGATTTTTATGCCTTCTTTTCCTGCTAGTTCCTGTGCAGCTAGAGAAGTTTTGCACCTCCGTAAATTGTCTATTAGTTTCCTGACCATCCACCTCTTTGATTTCTCTCTCTGTCACTTTCTTAGTTTGGGGATGGAAGCACTATGGCAGTGAAGATCTGTTGCTGGCTGGCAGAGGTGAGAGAATGAACACACATGCGCATGCACACACATGCGCATGCCCTCCAAAATGCTAGAAGGAATTGGTCATGCAGAGTGACATGTCCCATGGGGGAGTATGCTGAGCTAAAAGCATTTTGATCGCCTGTCAGAAGGTGATTAGGCAACAGTCATCACCACGCCAAGACCATCCCAGGTCCCATTGTTCCTAGTCAGAAACAAGATCTGGATTACTCATTCCCCACGAAGATGGTTGGTTTAGCAGCCCAGGGATGTCAGTGTCAGGACAGAGTCCCTGACAGCAGTGCCGTGGAGATGGGGTGAAGGAGGGGAGCAGTGGAGAAGCGAGGGGAACTTTCTGGAGGAGGGTGTGGGAAGTGTGGGGGAAGCGGAGGGACAGGCTCAGGGATGAGGGGTAGGCTGGAGAGGGCTGGTGCTGCTGGTTGGGAACCACAGGGCGACAGGCCCAGAGGGTCTTCACAGACTCCCCTCCTCCTGTGTATCTGTGCTCCACAGTGGAGACCTTCCACGTGGGTCTGACTTACACCTCAGAGTTGCTCAGAGCTGGCTACGCTTGGCGCTGGCTTCTCCTCACTGTCTTCAATTCTGTATTCACATGCAAGTGTGGAGAGCATGCCGGGCTTCTAGGAAGTCTCAGAACGGAAGTCTGTGTGGGGTTCAGGTCTTTCCAGATCTCAATGTCACTACTACCCAGTAAGAAGGATTGAGTGCTGCTCTCCAGGAAGGCCCCTGGGGTTTCCTGGTCCATAGTAATGCCTGCTGGGTACTCCTAGGGCTCTCTGCGGTGGGACCGCTCCCCACACTGTCTGCCTTTACACACAGCGGCAGCACACACCGAGGTCAGTTGTCGTGCTGCTGCACCACATGCTGGTTAAGATCTTGTGTACTGTGGCTCGGCGTTCTCAGTTCAAACCCCAGCCATGCTACTTACTATCTATGTAAACTGGGGCAGGCTATTCGACCTCTGGGCCTCAGTTTCCTCATTTTACAAATGGGTAGCATAAGGGGCCGGGCCCGTGGCCCAGTGGTTAAGTCCACATACTCTGCTTCAGTGGCTTGGCTTTGCGGGTTCAGATCCCAGGTGCGGACTTACCATGTTGTGAAGGCATCCCACGTACAAAATGGAGGACGACTGGCACAGATGTTAGCTCAGGGTGAATCTTCCTCACCAAAAAAATAAAAATAAAAAATGGGTGGCATCAAGCGAAATAAATCAGATGGCGAAACTCAAATATGATACTCAAATGTGAATACGATCTCATTCACAAGTGGAAGATAAAAACAACAATGACAAACACACAGATACAAAGACTAGATTGGGGGTTACCAGAGGAGAAGAGGGGAGGGGAGAGGGCAAAAGGGATAATAGGGCCCATGCGTGTGGTGACAGATGGAATTAGACTTCTGGGTGGTGAACATGACGTAATCTACAGAGAAATCAACATGTAATGATGTACACCTGAGATTTATATAATGTTATAAACCAACGTTACCTCAATAAAAAAATACAAACATAAATGGCCCTGTTTCAGCAGAACAGTGCCTGGTACACGGTCAGTTTTTGATACGTTAGCTATTACTATTCTTTTTACTATTGCCATTACTATCGCCCAGAAACAATTTTAACTTCTCAAATCAGGCTTTCCAGGCCCCCATCACTATCCTCCCTTCTAAGTTGACACCCGTCTCTCCATTGAGTCTAGCTCGAAGCTTGACCACCCCCCACCCCCGCAAGTCTCACCTCCACCCCTGTCCTTTCTAAATGTATGAAACAGCTTCTCTCTGCTCAGCTCGCTGCTCCAGATGCTTTTGTCAACCAGCATGTGCCTGCCACCTGTTTGCACCTGTTTTCTGTTGCTGGTGCCTCTATCTTCCGCCCTGGTCTGTCTTTGAGGAAAAGGAACAACTGGAAACTCAGAAAAGAACATGTCTTTCCCCCTGGTCCTTCTCGAGCACCTGCCCGTCCATCCTGTCCGACACTAGCTTCTCCCCTTCTCATATTAAGGCAGTACACTTAGGAAGCTTACATTTAATAAAATAACTTCCTTTAATTTTTCACTTATTAAAGCGTTTACTCTCTATCAGGAGATCTAACTTGGTGAGCTCTGAGGTGAGGAGGGAAGATCTCAGAAACAGGCAGGAGAGCTCCGTTCTGAGATTCGAGGGTGGAGAATGGCAGCTGCTGTGCCTGAGGAGAGAACGTGCTGAGCAGCTTACCGGGCAAGGCAAGGATGGAAAAGTACATATCTTTGTGACAGGAGGTTATGAAATCCTGCCAAGAAACACCAGGGGTCCTATTTTCCTAAAGTCCCAAGCAATTGAAGAGAGATTTTGCCTGATAAAATGATTGCCACATGAGCGATCTTGCAGGCACAGCAACTTGGAGAGGCATCCTGGGAGCTAGGTGTGTAGTGTTTACCGTATTGTTGAGGCTCGTAAAAATCTTGTATGGCTGCAGGCAAGCCAAACCCTTGAGAGGCGCTGCATCCCGCTGACTCGAGGACCAAGCCCAATTTGCTCCCTGTATATAAGGCGAAGTCTCTGTGCTTGGGGTAGAGGAGTGCGAGCTCCTGCCCTTCCTCGACTCTGCTTCTACTCTCTCTAAGTCAACATGAGCCGAAACTTTAGTTCCAGGTCTGGCCGCCGGATTGGAGGGGGCTTCAGCTCTGGCTCTGCTGGGGTGGTCAGCTTCCAGCGCAGGACCACTAGCAGCTCTGTGTGCCGTGGTGGGGGAGGTGGCGGGGGATTTTCAGGGGGAAGATATGGTGCTGGCTGTGCTGGCGGTGGTTTTGGAAGTCGGAGTCTTGTTAACCTCGGTGGCAATAAGAGCATCTCCATAAGTGTGGCTAGAGGAGGTGGACGTAGTGGTTTTGGTGGTGGTTATGGCGGTGGTGGCTTTGGGGTTGGTGGCTATGGCGGTGGTGGCTTTGGGGGTGGTGGCTTTGGCAGTGGTGGCTTTGGGGGTGGTGGCTTTGGCAGTGGTGGCTTTGGGGGTGGTTTTGGCAGTGGCGGTTTTGGGGGTGGCTTTGGCAGTGGAGGTGGTTTTGGTGGAGGTGGTTTTCGGGGTGGTTTTGGGCCTGTCTGCCCCCCTGGTGGCATACAGGAAGTCACCATCAATCAGAGCCTTCTGCAACCACTCAATGTGGAGATTGATCCTGAGATCCAAAGAGTAAAGTCTCAAGAAAGGGAGCAAATTAAGACCCTCAACAACCAATTTGCCTCCTTTATTGACAAGGTGAGTTGGTCTGCTCACTGCCCTGGGAGAGCTGCTCCTGGTTCATTTGAGATCAGTGCAGCCAAGACATGTGTGGGTTTGAGCCTTGAGTTTCAGTTCAGTGTCTGAATGACTAAAAGGATATTTTGTGGAATTGTCTTCAAGGAGATACATTAGAAGTGTGCTTGTGAATGATGCTAATAACTAAACTCTCTCTTGGTCAAAGGGGTCTGCTGTCTACATAAACGTGGTCGATTTGACATCACCTAGAAGTGATTTTTTATTCCGCCCTTGCGCTGAATTGGGACTCAGATATGTTGAATGAAGATAATAGAAATGGGATAAATCAACCTTTTAGGGTGCAAATGAGGACCCTGGAGAGGTCTTCCTAACCGTAAAAGGGAGCGGGATGTGCACAGATGCACGGGACATTGTGGCAGTGCTAGAGAACCTTTCGCTGTCAGAAGGAGAGCTCTCCCCTCTGAGACTTCTACGTTGGGACTAGATCAGGGCAGGGATCTTTTTCTACTCATGTTTCCGAGTATCTGCTCTGGAAAAACATGTAAACCACTTTTTATTTTTTTGCTAGGTCATCAGTACTATCAACTCAAGGTTATCCACCATCAACTTGGAATTCAACTTAGGATTTTCCCAACATACTTTTGAACTGTGTGTATGCTTAGGGAATGCAAACCAATTTTCATGGTAATCTACCAAAAAAAAATTGGAAGGCAAATCTCTGAAGTATCATGAATCTATTTCAAAGTGTAATTTCAGTAATTTTCTATGTGCTTTGCTCTTTGATATTCGTGTAGCTGATCCCTTCTGAAGTTCCGGCTGAAATAGTATGACAGTGACTGTTCTCAGAGAAATCAAAGCGTCTCTGAGTTAACAGCGAGTTGGGTTTTGTTATGACGATGATGCTAACTTGATCATCTTCTTCCTATTTCTCTGTTTGTCATGGCCAGGAGAGCAAGAATTGGAATTCTTTTCCAAATGAGGCACGGGCCTCCTGTGTGTGAGCCCTTGGCACTCAGTGGACTCCGTTTCTGCTCCGGTGGGTGATGGACTCTTGTGTTCTCAGGTGCGGTTCCTGGAGCAGCAGAACCAGGTGCTGCAGACAAAATGGGAGCTGCTGCAGCAGGTGGACACCCCTACGAGAACCCAGAGCCTAGAACCCATTTTTGAGGCGTATATCAGCAGTCTTAGACGGCAAGTGGACCAGCTGAAGAGCGACCAATCTCGGATGGATTCAGAACTGAAGAACATGCAAGACGTGGTGGAAGATTACCGGAACAAGTAAGGAAAGCTGCCCAGGCAGTTCTTGATTTTCATTCTAAAATATTTCCAGAAAGTGGCAAGCTAAGACTAGGCACCGTATGTGACAATGTGTTTTCTTAGGTTAGAGGCAAATCAATTTGGCATTTTCAGACATCTTCATCTTCTCAGAAGCTGGGAATAGTTTAGTGGCTCTATTGCTCAGAAGAAAGGGGTGGCTGACATGTCCCAGGCTGGGAACAGGAAAGCAACGACAGGAAACACCAATTTTAGTCTAGAGAGCTGAACTTCAGGCCTCATTTTCTCTGAATCTCTGAATCACTTCTGATTTCCTTGCAGGTACGAGGAAGAGATCAACAAGCGGACAAATGCAGAGAATGAATTTGTGACCATCAAGAAGGTGAGCAAATTCTGTAGGATGGACCTCACATCTGAAATAAATAGGAGAAGAGGGTCTCCAATTACTAAACAGAACAAAGTCACGGTGAGGAGAACCAGGGAGCAGGCCTGATGAATATCTGCGGTAGAGGTTTCCCCCCACATTATGATGGACCTGGACTGCCCAGGCACTTGCCTCTCCAGATATCTCAGCACTTCATGTAGTAAGTGGGGAGGCAGGTTCTCAGCAAATCAGGCACCCTCCCTTGTGACTGTGATACCAAGGAGTGGGGCAATCCAAGGATTGTGATCCACCTGCAGGATAAAGGTGTAGAGTAGACCCCAACACCTCTTCTACTTGGAAAACCCCCTGTCAGCTGACGAGAGGGATTTGCCCTGGAAAAAATTTGACTTCATGATGCCCATTGTTCCTCTAGGACGTGGATGCTGCTTATATAACCAAGGTGGACCTGCAGGCCAAAGTTGACAACTTGCGTCAGGAAATTGAGTTCCTCAGAATACTCTACCAAGAGGTAAGTCCTCTAATTTCAACCAAGTTTACCCAAATGGAGAGCCTTCAAGCCCGAACCAACTGCTACCCAGAAGAATAGAGATATATCTTCCACTTCTTGACCCTTCCTCTGTCTAAGTTGTTTTTTGTCTTGCCACTGTAAGAGTCACTCAACTATTATACTCTGCAGGAGCTGTCTCAGTTGCAGACACACATCAGTGACACTAATGTCATCCTGTCCATGGACAACAACCGGCACCTGGACCTGGACAGCATTATCGCTGAGGTCCGTGCCCAGTATGAGGACATCGCCCAGAAGAGCAAGGCGGAGGCTGAGGCGCTGTACCAGAGCAAGGTGAATAGGCTGAATGCCTGGCCAGCTTTCTCGAAGTGTCTTGTTTTTCCATCCTATATTGTGTGCCTATATTTCCATCCTATAGTGTCTTCTCCTATATTTGTGTGCGTGAGCCGTGGTGCGCTCTGTCACATCTAATTCACTTGATCTTTAGTATGAAGAGCTCCAGATCACTGCTGGCAGCCATGGGGACAGTTTGAAAAGTACAAAGATGGAGATTTCTGAGCTGAATCGGGTGATCCAGAGACTTAGATCTGAAATTGACAGCGTCAAGAAGCAGGTACTTGCTTCCTCCTCCTGTTGTTCAGCTCTATGGAATGGGGGTGGGGCATGCTCAGGTAACTGGAGGACACTTTCTTAGTTTTGCATCTTGCAATCCATACTAAGGTTATATCATTATCCCTAGTTCCTTTGGTGACTATGGTGATTCCCAGAATTCGGTCATTAGGCTGGGTTCTCTTTATGGAAACCTGGGAAAATGATCTAGTAGAGAAATAGATGTGATGGGCATGAGTGGTCCAGCCCATGATGCAAAGGGAGACTTCGGAGGCGGAGAGTGAGAGGACAGGCAGCCAGGAGGTTTCAGGGCAGGCGTTTAGAAGAGCGTCAAGTCTGTAAGGGGTGGAACAGCCTCAACTAGGGCCAAGAGAGGCTGCTGTGTCACCTTTAAGGGCTTCTAAGGAAGTCAACACAATTGAGATAAGAAGGCCAAGGTGAAACTGGATAACTGAGCGTGTAATGTGCTGGCGCCTCTCCTCTCAGATCGCTGCGCTGCAGCAGTCCATCACTGAAGCTGAGCAGCGTGGGGAGAACGCCCTCAAAGACGCCCAGAACAAGCTGAACGAGCTGGAGGATGCCCTGCAGAGGGCCAAGGAGGACCTGGCCCGGCTGCTGCGTGACTACCAGGAGCTGATGAGCACCAAGCTGGCCCTGGATGTGGAGATTGCCACCTACAGGACCCTCTTGGAAGGAGAGGAGAGCAGGTGGGGAAGGGACCCCAGGCAGTTTGGCCACCTCGTAAGGGCGAGTGTAAGGGCGTCCTCCCTTGTGAGCTGACTGCGACTGAGGAAGCAGCCATGTGCCTGCAGCTGGTCCTGAGGATCGGGAGGGGAAGGTCCACGGAGCAGGAGGAAAGACTTGGTTTCACAGTGGGAGCCGGGGTCCCCACTTTTATTTTCTGAGGACTGTAGCATCTGTGTGAAGCTCTTTGAGATGGAGTGATTTCTTCCTCATCTGGGCTGGCTCAGATGTCATCCAGGCCAATGTGAAGGCCTCTAGAGGTGGCCTGCATTAGCTGCAAGACTCTTGTCTCGTTTATATGGAGATTCCCTGTTTGTAGTCACTGTGAGAACAATGACAGAGGTTCAGACACCAGAGGGGACGGGATTAGGATTCAGAGGAAGTGGATTGGAGGAGCCCCAGATGGGGACAGGCCTGGACATGTCTGAGAGGGCCTGGGGAGTGGTTTGAGAAGCTGGAGAGTCAGGAGAGCTCTGCATTCCTTTCTCTTACAGGATGTCTGGAGAGTGCGCCCCGAACGTGAGCGTGTGTAAGTACAAGCCGATCTCAGGGGCCTGTGCGGGTGTGCTGGGTGGGCGGGGAGCTCAGTGCAGATCACTGAGTGTTCCCTTGCAGCTGTGAGCACCAGCCACACGAGCATCAGTGGAGGAGGAGTCCGAGGAGGCGGCGGTTTCAGCTCTGGCGGCGGAGGGAGCTACAGCTCTGGAGGAGGCAGTTACAGCTCTGGAGGCGGCGGTGGTGGCTTCGGCTCCGGAGGCAGCAGTAGGGGCCACAGAGGCGGCTCTGGAGGTGGAGGCGGCAGCTCTGGCGGCTGGGGTTCTGGTGGCGGCGGCTCTGGAGGCAGCTTCAGCTCGTCCGGAGGCCGGGGAGTCAGCTCTGGGGGCAGCAAGTCCTCTGGTGGCAGTTCCAGCGTGAAATTTGTTTCCAGCAGCTACTCCCGAGGGAGCAGATAAAGAGGTGCTGTCTGTCCTGTTAGCTCTCCCTCCCACCACTACCTTAATGCTTGGCGAGACCGGGGTCAACTGCCGCAGCCTTAGTGGAGAGCTGAGCTATGGTCAGTTCCACTGGTTCCTCCCAGCTCCCCCGCTCTCTCCTTTCTCCTCTGCTTCCCAAAGAAGGTTTCAGATCAGAGGCAATCCCAGTCCCCGGCTATGACCCTGCCTTGTGCTTTGCCTGCGAGACAGCTCAGCCATCCCATGACACACATTCCATTTCAAAGCATCTCCTTCAGTCAGCCAGAGCCGGGCTGGTGAGACCCACAGCTTCTTGCTGCGTGGAGACACGCTCTGGACAGCTCGTTGGGCTCCCGTGTCTTGCAGCAAGCTCTGTGCTGCTTTGGTTTTGTATAGAAGGTGTAAGCAAGTTGATTGTCTCTTGTGAAGAGGTCTTAACTCCCCTTTTCCTCGTGTTGCTGCAATAAACTGCATTTGAAATTCTCCACGAGTCTCAAGCTCCTTTGTTCACAGTGCTGTCCATCCTGGACGAGTGCTTTGTGGGCGGGAAAGAAGGCCCTGGAGCCCCATGGTGTATGGGGAAGTTGGGACCCATGAAGACGATGGGACAGTGAGGAGGCTGGTCAGGCAACATTTGAGCTTAAACATTTAATGTTTAATGAGCAGAAGCGCTTTCTCAGAGGGTGGCGATGTCATAGGGAATTGGAGGGTTTGAAGTGTTCATCTGAGAAGGCTCTGGTGAAAAGGACAGTGAGCAAGCAGGTTGGGAAGAAGGAGTCTGGCATTGAGAAGAGGGGACAGTATTGCATGCTGAAGTCTGCCCATGTGGAACAGCCTATGAAGAGAGGGATGTGGGTCAGGCAGTACCGGCAGCTGCCACAGCCAGAATACAGACTTTGGCCTGGGGAGTTCAAGAACCAAGAGTGCTACTGGAGAGCTGGCTATCCATTTCCCCTCTACTTCAGGCCACTCCCCAAAACGCTGCTTAATCTAACAAGTTCATTTGCGCACATGTGGCCTGTACTTGAGGAGAAGTAGAAAGGGACAGCATAGTGATCAGAAGCATTGGACTCAGATACGCCTGGGCTTGGACCTTACCACTATCGTTTACCAGCCCTGTGACAACGTGTCAGTTAAGGACCTCTCTGCACCTCAGTTTTATTTTCTCTCAAAAAATGGGGATAAGAATGCCTTCCTCATGGGAATTTTGATGAGGATTGAAGGAGATGATGAATGAACATCGCTTGGCATGTAGCAAGACTCAGCGAGTGAAGATTTTAGTGATAATGGTGGTGATGATGATCATGATCTGTCTATTATGACTTTGCTTGTTGGCCTGCAGACAGCTCAGCAGATGCTGACTCTAAGGAGCAAATGAAATGAGCCTCCCAGTGGTTCCGTGACCATGAAAAACTCAGTTCACTTCTCCTAAGTTCAATTTTCTTAGCTTCACTAGGCAAAGTCTTGGTAGCTGCAGTGTCCACCAGAGCTGAGGGGAATAAAGAGGGTGTAAATTAACAGGGGTGTCGCGTCCATACGTCATGGGGAGCTCTCTCTCCTCTCCAGTCACTCTCACCAGAGCTGCCTCCTGTTTGAACCGATGTGAAAGTCTGGACAGCATTACATTGGATGGAAAGAAAGCAGAACTTTGATTCAGTGAGCACTCTGGCATGTACGGTGTAGGCAGAGAAAAATAATCCACAGCTTCCGGGATGTGTGGATCAGTGGACAAGTCACTTGACCATTTGGAGCTTCTGGGGTAGGTGAAACGAGGATGAGAATATTTGCCTCTAGACATCAGGAGGATAAAATCTATAATGTGAAAATTCCTTGTGAGCTGTGAATGTGTCATACACAAGTAGTTAAATGCAGTTAAAAGGGAGTGACAAAGAAGCAGAGGAAGGCAGCCGGCTGTCTCGGCCACCAACGAGGGAAGCACCTGATACGGTCACTGTGGCCTAGAGACAGCTCTGAAATGACATGAAATTGATTTTGTTACTGCACCGAAGTTGACTGTGCCTTTGAGGCCTGCTATGTGTGCACCAAACACTCAAGTAATGGATGTGTGACCCAGAAGACCCATGTATTTGCTTGTGGGGGAACCTACATTTTCAGTGACTGAAATACCAGAGCCCCCATCCTGTTGTCAAGATACCTGGGAAACTGAATTAGTCCTAGAAGGCGGCGTGGTGCTTGTGGATTTAGAACAATGGGAGTGGGGTGGCCTTGGGGGAGACGGTTTACGCTCCTCCTTGGGAGAGCAGACCTCTGGAGCCACCAGATACAGTACCTGGGGCATCACTGAATGAGTGGACTGGTGAGAGTATTCTAGCTCTCCGGCATACACTTTCTAAATTCTTTCCTGGGTTCCAACTTCTTTCCATCACATTTCAGTATTGGGAACACCTTGTTCACCTTGTTTGGCCTTGGGTTTTCTTGGTAAGGTCAGATATGAAACACAGACCAACACAATTACAGTGAAGATTCTCAAAACTCGTAAGGTCACAGGACTAAATGAAAACCCCATATAAGCTAGTATGTAATGAATAATTAAATTGAGGAAGATCAAGTACTCAGTGCCTAGGACTAGAAAGACAT